TAAGCATATTGGCTGTACCTTTAAACTTTTTGTTGCTGTAAAAATTGTACAGTAAGAATGTTGGATGTAACTTTAAATATTTTAAAATAATAAACATGATTGGTAAATATAAGATTCGTGTTATATTTTTAAGACTATTTTTATAAAAATAAAAATGTTTTGCATTGTATACAATTTATGAAAATAAAAATGTTTTGTATTACATTCAAAAATAGAGTTTATGGAAACTTTAAGTTATTTTCAATGCAATAAATAGTGAACCTCCAAATTATTTTTAAATGAACATATTTAAAATAAAATTTAAAAGTGTTATTTTAAAATTAAACAATTGCAGTAAATATATATAAAGTATAAAAAAATACTTTGGTGATCAAAAAAATAATTCATAACAAATTTGATTTTACTTATTCCATAGATTCATTGTAATCTTAGAATCCTTCCATATTTTTTCTTTCAATACCTTTCTTTTTTATGAGTTATTAACTAAATAATTATTTGATATTTGTCTGATTTGTTTCTAAAATAACAGCCTTTACAGCTCAATATAGGGGGCTATAGAATTCTTATATGTTACGGGCAGTAAGACTTTAAAAACAAAATTTAGGCTTTAAGTTAGAGAATTAAAGCTAAAACATGATTGGTAAAAAATATATAAATTGCAATTTTAAGAATTAAAGTTACAACATGATTGATAAATAAATTATGTTTTAGAGAAAATTAAGTCTGTAAGTGACACTTAAAGTTCAACCAATCATACACTGTATATAAAATTTGCGATGATCAAAGAGTCTTTTATAATCAGGTTCAAAAACTAAAAAAAATAAACATGCGGGGCTGGCCTAACCTTATATATATATGTTTGTTTTTCGAAATTTTGTTCAAATAACTTAAAAAGTTTATTTTTCACTAGACCAATGTCAATCTTTCATAAATACTAAAATAATATTTTATACCTATTTTACATTTTTTTTTATAACAAAAACCGTTTTACCAAATCGTCATTACCTTTTTCTGATTCTAAAAACTGTCATTACTATATTTAGATATATAAGGAGTATAAGAACATTTCCAACAATGGGTATCTCTATAAATATCTACAATATTATAAAATAATAATAATATTAAAATATTATGTAGATTTTTAAATAATATTAAAATATTGTTGAGATTCTTAAAAAGTGAAGAAATCTACTCCAAAGTTTCTTCAACGCAATCAGCATTTAGAAATTGCGTTTACAACCAGCGTTTATGATCTCTGTTTGCGACTGATGTTTGTGACCTTCGTTTATAATCGGCATTTGCGTTTTGCTATTGGCTTTTGGATTTGAAATCATGGTACATTTTTTCCACTGTTTTAGATGTTATAGTAGAGTTATTTGCAGTATGAAAAAAAATACATTATCATTAGTGGTAGACTTATTTCTAAATGATGGTAGACTTATATATCAACTGCTGTTTGCGTTCTAAAATTCATTGTATATAACATACAAATTTACAATGATATGTAAACAAACAAGTATACCATCATCGTATGTAAGAATACATGTCTACCATTGTATGTAAGCATACAAGTTTTCTATCATTGTATATAAACATACAAATCTACCATAGTAAATCTAACGCCACAGCAACCAATAAATATATCTACCAACTGAAAGTTGTTTAAGTAAGCTTAAAAGATTGAATAACTTTATCGCCTCAATAATAAGTCTTCTACTAATTATAAATCAGTCATCATGTCACTAAAAATAAATCTACAGTCTAAAAGTTGTGTATGTATGCCTCTTATGACAATAAATGTACCCTGCGACTTTAATTTACTGTCAAACAAAATAAATCTACCATTCATTATAATTTCTTTTTAAATGCCACCATAAGTTACCTATTTTAAGAAACACTAGAAATAGAATTTTTAAAAACTTTAAAAACCTTAAAACTTACCATTATAAACTCTAAAAATGGTTTTGACTCTAACAAACTTTAAACTCTTAAACCTAAACCGTAAGATAATATATTTACTCCAAACATAAATGATATTTCAAATAAATAATATAATATTGGGGCAATTGCAAAAGTACTAATTTTGGTGTGTACATTTGCTAGAGTGCCACTTATGAGTGTCCATTTACAAAAATACCACTAATTATGGATTTTTAAAACCTAAATGTTAAAATTATAAACTCTAAAAAATATTTTGACCCCTAAAACTCCTTAAACCCTCAAAACTAAACTCTAATACAATATAGTTAACCCAAATATAAATGATATAGTAAAAAAATAATTTTGAAAAAGTGGCATTTTTGCAAAAATTTTGAAAATGTGGCATTTTTGAAAAGTGGTAATTGAAAATTGACATTTCTTAAAATTTCTCTATAATATTAGTGAAACCTTTTAAATTTTTTTTTGAAAATCTCGCATTTTTGAAAAATAATATTTCTCAGCTAAACCGGTACAAAATTAATCACCATTTTATGCAAGTCAATGAAAATTCGAAAAAAATCATAATTATCTCAAAAATCATAATTATTATTATAAATTGAATAATTATCTATAGTATTATTAATGGATAATCATTATCCATTTATGTTGTGTTGTGTTGTAATTTCTTCCTCATGAAGAAATTTTTTGCCGACTCAAAACGCTATATATATATATGGGTTGTATGACTAAACACTACAAGAAAACATCTAATTTTTAACCACGAAATTGATCAATAATTGGTTAAAAACAGGTGTTTTTGATGAATTTCTGACAAATCATGTTCGTCACGAATCGATGGTCGAAAATCACTATTTCGTCAAAAAGATCAACAAATTATGATCATTAAAGTTGGTGTGAATGTGGTCAAAATTTTCAGACCCAAAAATGGTCGACCAATTTATGACCAGAAGTAATGGTCAAAAATATTTTGACCAAACATTTGGTCGAAATGTCTACTAGCTTGTGACAAAAAATAATGATCAATAATTTCTGATCAAAAGTAAGGGTTAGAATATTTTTGACTAAACAATTGGTCGAACCATTTTTCACATTTTGACCAAAACTAATAGTCAATAATTTCTGACCGAAAGTAATGGTCAATAATTTATGATCAAAAATAGTGGTCGGAATATTTTTGACCGAACAATTGGTCAAAACGCCTTTTAATTTTTGACCAAAAGTAATGTCAATAATTTCTGATGAAAAAAATAATGGTCAATAATTACTATAATGGTCG